TTTTTATATTTTAGTAGAGACAGAGTTTCACCATGTTGGTTTTGAACTCCTGACCCCAGGTGATCTGCCTGTCTCAGATTCCCAGAGTGCTGGGATTATAGGTGCGAGCCACAGCCCCCAGCCTCTGCTGTCTCTTTCAATGTACTGCACAAACCACGTCTCATCTACCTCAATGTATGCCAAATTAATTTGGCTCTAGTTCAGATGGTACTAGATGGTACTTATATGAGATAACAGAGCAGAAGGTCCTGGCCCCTTTTGTGCAGGCTAAGCAAGGAAGGCTGCTCCCACAGTCAGGCCAGGGCCTGCAGTGCTGGGTTGACTTGGATGAGGACAAGGACAAGGACGGGGAGGAAGGGGACATGCTGCCCAGGCTGAGCTCCTGGCTCTGCCACTGTCCCGAAGACAATGCAGGACATTTATAAAGCATCAGCTTGTTCTCCTTGGTGAGCCAATCAGAAAAAGCAGGAAGCCACTTTCCTGATTCTCGCAGGAGGAAGGCTGGTGGTGGGGGTACTACCTTTTCCTGAGTTGCTCTCCATTGACTGGGACAGCCTCTTCACCCGTTTCTTTCCTCTCCGGGCCTCATAAATGGCGTTGATTCGCAACACCAGCTGCCAGACACCAGGAGAAGAAGAGCCAGTGTTAGCAGCCTGCTCTCTGCGGTGGCTGGGCTTCCCTCACTGCCCCTCTCCTAGGATGATAGAAGGCCAGGGCCAGGGGGAGCGGGACACACCTCCCATGGGCTCAGGGGTGTCTTTCATTCATTGTTTTTGAGACGGAGTTTTGCTCTTGTGGACCAGAGACTGGGGTGCAGCAGTGGCGCAATCTCAGCTCACCACAGCCTCTAACTCCTGGGTTCAAAAGATTCTTCTGCCTCAGCCTCCTGAGTAGCTGGGATTACAGGCACCTACCGCTACAACCAGCTAATTTTTATATTTTTAGTAGAGACCGGGTTTTCCCATGCTGGCCAGGCTGTTCTCCCACTCCTGATCTCAGGTGATCCCCTGCCTTGGTCTCCCAAAGTGCTGGGACCACAGGCGTGAGCCACCGTGCCCAGCCTAGTCATTTTTTTTCTACCACACAGGACTGTGACTGTCAATGAAACTAAAGGAGGCTGCCAGCCTCACTGCCATCTGGGCAGCTGTCATCTGGATCTGCTCATGAGCAGCAGAGACCCATGGGGAGACAGCCCATTGCTCACAGTGCGATGGCTGCTCTCCCTCTGAAGCTATGGTGTCACTGTGGCTCAGGAAGGAGCTTTTCCTCCCAAAACAAAACAAGAAAAGAAAGAGAGGGAAAAAAAAAGTTCCCAGGCAGGGCTCCCTTCATGGGAACCATTCCAAAGAATGTCAGACCAGCCCTGAATCGGGTGGGAACCGGGATTAGACCGGCTCCCGAGCCCTCGCTTGGGATTTTGGGGAGCGGTGCCGTGCACCCAAGCATGCTGGCCCATCTGCAGAGGGACCCGCACCCCAGACGTCATGCACCCTCCATGTGTTCACAGAACACACACACGCAGTGTGCAAGTGCACACGGATATCCTGGTGTGGGACACATCCCAAGCCTCCAACAAGGCCACTCAGCCCAGATGGGTCTCCCCCATCACCACTGCCAGATGCCCTGTGCCTGGCCCCCTCCCCACTACCCAGGCCAGCCTAGTTGTCTGATGCATTTTCAAGGAGACCTGCATCCACAGAAAATGTTTTTCGTATTTCAGACGAAAAAAGTCTGGTGTTTCCTATGTGTTTGTTTTCCCTCTTGTTGCGTGAGAAGCTGGTAAGTGTGGATTTGCACATTTTGCTTTGCTGGGTCCCCTGGGGCTTGCTATCAAAGAGCACACACATTCATGGCACATGTGATTTAGAATCCCACACATGGAGGAATTCTAAAATTAGTTGTTTTGTGTGCTTACAAAATTAATCTTATTATTTCGTAGCTACATGTTAAATGTTATATAATGCTTTTATCTGTATATGTCAGTAAACAAAAATATAGGATGGTAACCAATTTCCATGTACTATGAATATTTTATTTTATTTTATTTATCTATTTATTTTGAGACAGTCTTGCTCTGTCGCCCATGTTGGAATAGAGTGGTGTGATCTTGGCTCACTGCAACCTCTGTGTCCCGGGTTCAAGTGATTCTCATGCCTCAGCCTCCCGAGTAGCTGGGATTACAGGTGTGTGCCACCATGCCCAGCTAATTTTTTTGTATTTTTAGTAGAGATAGGGTTTCACTATGTTGGCCAGGCTGGTCTTGAACTCCAGACCTCAGTGATCTTCCCACCTCAGCCTCCCAAACTGCTGGGATTACAGGTGGCAGCCACTGCGCTGGCTTGAATATTTTAATTCTTACTTTCAATATTTAAAAATTGTCTGGCCTGTTTCGCTTCTGGCTGGTGTCTCTGGGCCACTTGTTGGCCTCTATGGTCTCAAATGTCCTTATCTGAAAAACGAAGGGGCTGGCGTGTTTCAACAGTCACTTCTGTTGAAATACTCCAACTTTCTAACAGCCAAGTGTCCACGGACAGATAGATGGATATACAAAATGTGGTATATACATACAGTGGAATACCATTTAGTCTTAAAAAAGGCAGAAAATGCTGACACATGCTTAACCCTTGAAGACACTACACGAAGTGAAATGTCAGTCACAAAAGGACCATACTGTATGACTCCACTTACGTGAGGTACCTCCAACACCTTTCTGGTTTCTAGGATAAAAGTTCTTAGCTGTCCTCAGACCTGCCAAGTCCTTTCATAACCTCTCCTAGTGCTGCTAAGGTGAGTCACTCAACAGGCACCACTACTTAAAGGCATATTCCCTCCGTGGACTTCAGCAGAACCCTCTCTGTCTCTCTCTCTCTCTTTCTCTCTCTTTTTAGAGGCAGCATCTCGCTCTGTCACCTAGGCTGGAGTGCAATGGCACGATCATAGCTTACTGCAGCCTCTAACTCCTGGGCTCAAGCAATTCTCTCTCACCTCAGCCTCCCAAGTAGCTGGGATTACAAGTGTGCACCCCTATGCCTGGCTAATTTTAAAATTTTTTGTAGAGATGGGGTTTCACCACACTGCCCAGGCTGGTCTTGAACTCCTGGGCTCAAGTGATCCTCCTCTGTTGGCCTCCCAAAGTGCTGGGATTACAGGTGTGAACCACTATGCCTGGCCTCCCTTGACTTTCTTTCAGGTCAGTGGGTCACTCTGAGAAATCCCAGGAAACCAGCCAGGCGCGGTGGCTCATGCCTGTAACCCTAGCACTTTGGGAGGCTGAGGCTGGTGGATCACCTGAGGTCAGGAGTTTGAGATCAGCCTGACCAACATGGTGAAACCCTGTCTCTACTAAAAATACAAAAGTAGCCGGGCGTCATGGTGCGTGCCTGTAATCCCAGCTATTTGGGAGGCTGAGGCAGGAGAACTGCTTGAACCTGGGAGGTGGAGGTTGCAATGAGCCGAGATTGTGCCATTGCACTGCAGCCTGGGCAACAAGAGCGAAACTCTGTCTCAAAAAAAAAAAAAAAAAATCCATGAAACCTACATTGTCCCACACCAAAACTTATCTGCATAAAATTTTACATTTTTATGAGTTTCATGACCTCCTAAAGCCCATCCATGAACTCTGAATCCCTAATTTAAAAGTTCCTCTAAGAAGTTGATCTTGAAGTAGTTCAGGACATGGCACCTAAAAATATGCCACTTTGCCATGTTAATTATTTTTAACTAAAGACACTTGAAAAACAGCAGGTGCAGAAAGGGCTCTCTGACCTTCTCTTTTTTTCTTAAAAACAGGAGATGAAACTCCCATGTAAAAGAGGCCCTCCTTTTAACAGGAGGGAAGAAATATTATCACCAGCAATGGGCAGTCGAGGCCAAGAGAAATCTAATCAAACAAACCTTGTTTAACCCTTATCTTCCTGGTTGCTTTTCCACAATGGCCACTCTTTGTTCAACCTGGTATATAAACACATAGACTCAGTCATTTCCTTGGGTCTTACATTTTTCTTTTGAGGGCTCCCACATTCTTGTAAATAAAATTAGTATGCATTTCTCTTGTTAATCTGTTTTATGTCAGTTTAAATCTAAGGCTCAGCTGGAGACCCTAAGAGGGTAAAGGAGAAATTCTGCCTACCCTACAGTACCAAATTGGTCAATGAAGAGAGACCAGCACTATAGCATTGAAATGGAGCAAAAGGAAATGTAACCAACAACAGATGCATAAAGATGTGTATACCCAAGCCCCTGGGGATGTTTTTGGATATGCAGTGTCGCTCTGTCGCCCAGGCTGGAGTGCAGTGGCTTGATCTTGGCTCACTGCAACTTCCACCTCCTGGGTTTAAGCAATTCTCCTGCCTCTACCTCCCAAGTAGCTAGGACAACACACCACCACGCCCGGCTAATTTTTGTATTTTCAGTAGAGACGGGGTTTCACCATATTGGTCATGCTAGTCTCAAATTCCTGACCTCAGGCAATCCACCCATCATGGCCTCCCAAAGTGCTGGGATTACAGGCTTGAGCCATTGCGCCCGGCCATGTTTTACCTTTTTGGCTGCAAGGAGCCACAAGAGGTATTGTTGAGAAGGGCTGTCTCAGAGCACAGACTGGGACCTGCCTCTGTGGCGGGTGTCGGCCAAGTCTCAAGGCAGAGCATGATGGATGGAGTTCTGTTTTTTGAGGCGATGAAGGAAGGAGCTGTGGCTTTTTGAGCTTGGGCATTAAAACCTTGTCTGGGATCAGACAGGCAGCTAAGATTGGGAGAAGAGTGGCTAAGAGGAACATACAGGACCAGAGAAATTATCAGGAGAAGGTCCAGATATTCCAGCCTGCTGGCTTCACTGTGGCCGCCTGGCCTGCAGCAACACAGGTGGCAGAGGCCCAGTGACGTACTCTCCACCCAGACCCCTCTGCAGTCTTCTTTCACAGAGAAGGGGTCACGCATATCGGAGCATGAAGCTTGTTGCCAGCATTACCTTAGGTATCTTTCTCTTCTTCCTGCCGTTCTGGGGGTCTCCAAGGTTAAAGAAAGTGTCATCAGGGCTGCTGGGAGTGGAGGGGGGACTGATTTTGGAAGGGGACCCGGTTCCATCCCGACTCAGCTTCCTAGTGTCCAGCAGCTTGAAGTTCCTCCTCTCTGAATTTTGTCGGAAAAAAGCAGATTTGGACAATGACTGCTGTGAGGGAAAAGGAGAAAAGAAGAGTAAATGAGTTCAAAGGAAACTAACTGGGGGATGGCTGGTGGTGGGAGGGACCAGACAAGGAAATTGAGAAGGGAACCAGTCTGTGTTCCCAGCGCAGGTGGAGTTTGGTTGTGCCAGTAAGTGTTCAGTGAGTTCATGCATCATCAAATTACAGAAAATGGGTGTGGTGAAGAGAGATGTAAATCTAATCCAGTTCCTCTTTTTAGACAAGTGCGAGGTCACCTGCCTCAATCCCTAGATGTTACAGCTAAGGCTTTCTGACAACCCAAGACACGTGGACTGGGAGTTACAAGGCCTAAGCCTCACTTTGGCCTTGCCGCAGGCTTGCTGAGTGCTTTTTTTGTTTTTTGAGAGAGAGTTTTGCTCTTGTTGCCCAGGCTGGAGTGCAATGGCATGATCTTGGCTCACCGCAATCTCTGCCTCCTGGGTTCAAGCGATTCTCCTGCCTCGGCCTCCTGAGTAGCTGGGATTACAGGCATGCACCACCATGCCTGGTTAATTTTATATATTTTTTTCAGTAGAGACGGGGTTTCTCCATGTTGGTCAGGCTGGTCTCAAACTCCCGACCTCAGGTGATCTGTCTGCCTTGGCCTCCCAAAGAGCTGGGATTACAGACCTGAGTCACTACGCCTGGCTGCTGAGTGCCTTTTATACAAGGAATTGTGTTTCTTTGGGTCTTAATATCTTATTTCTAAAACAGGCCTCTTCAAAGTCAAAAAGCTGGCCAGGTGCGGTGGTTTATGCCATAATCCCAGCACTTTGGGAGGCCAAGTCGGATCACTTGAGGTCAGGAGTTTGAGACCAATCTGGCCAACATGGTGAAATCCCATCTCTACTAAAAATACAAATTTAGCTGGGTGTGGTGGTGCCTGCATGTGATCCCAGCTACTTGGGAGGCCGAGGCAGGTGAATTGCTTGAACCTGGGAGGCGGAGATTGCTGAGACTACACCACTGCACTACAGCCTGGGTGATGGAGTGAGACTCTGTCTCAAAACAAAACAAAACAAAAAACAAAGTCAAAAGGCAAACAAAACACTTGCTAAAAAATTTACAACCCATAGAAAATAACCTGCAGAAATCAACTCATTTTCCTAAAATATACTGCAAATTAATGAAAAAAAGACCCACGACTCAAAAGAAAAACAGGCGTAACAATAGAAAATGTAGAGAAAAAGAAATACAATGATTCTTAAGACATATAAAAAGATTCTTAGCTTCACTCCCAAGAGAAAAGAAAATTAAAACTCCATTAAAGGAACATTTTTTGCTCAGAGATAAGATAAGAAAATTGGATAGCTCACTCTGTTGGTGAAAGTGAGGGAAAAAAGTCACTCCAACACTGTCATACACGGTTGGTGGGAGTATCACATGGCACAGTGCTATGGAGGGCAGTCTAGTATGAGTTAACAAAACTATGATGCATATAGTTCAGACCCCGCAATTCCACCTCTAGAAATTTACCCTGTTGATATGCTCTTATTTGTGCAACATTACTGTTTTACAAGGAAACATATTGTGCAAAGGATATTGTACATTGCAACATGGTTTGTAATCACAAAATACTGGAAATAACCTAGATATCCATCAATAAAGGCTGGTCAAACAAATTATGATATACCCACACAGGGGAATACTATCCAATTATTTAAAAAATCTTAATGTACTTGCTGGGCACGGTGGCTCATGCCTGTAGTCCCAGTACTTTGGGAGGCTGAGGTGGGTGGATCATTTGAGGTCAAGAGTTCCAGACCAGCCTGACAAATATGATGAAACTTTGTCTCTGCTAAAAATACAAAAATTAGCCAGGTGTGGTGGTGGGTGCCTGGGCTATTCAGGAGGCTGTGACAGGAGAATCACTTGAACCCAGGAGGCGGAGGCTGCAGTGAGCTAAGATCACGCTACTGCACTCCAGCCTGGGCAACAGAGTGAGACACTGTCTCAAAATAAATAAATAAATAATAGAAAGGCATACAAGGACATTCTAAGAATGGGGACAGGCCAGGCACGGTGGCTCAAGCCTGTAATCCCAGCACTTTGGGAGGCCGAGGTGGGTGGATCACGAGGTCAAGAGATCGAGACCATCCTGGTCAACACGGTGAAACCCCATCTCTA